TCCATGACTAAGAGTACTGGTACCCAGCCTGGCCTTCTATGACTAAGAGCACTAGTACCAGCCTGGCTTTCCATGACTAAGAGTTCTTTTGCCCAGCCTCTACTTCCATGACTAAGAATACCAGGACCCAGGCTGGCCCTCCATGACAAGGATTTCTGGTACCCAGCCTGGACTTCCATGAACAAAAGTACCAGTACCCAGCCTGGTCTTCCATGCTAACAGTACAGGAAACTAGCCTGGACTTCAATGAATAAGAGTACTGGTACCCAACATGGACTTCCATGACCAAGAGTATTGGTACCCAGGCTAGCTTTCCGTGACTAAGTGTGCTGGTACCCAGCCTGGCCTTCCATGACTAAGAGTACTGGTACCCAACCTGGCCTTCCATTACTAACTGTGCTGGTACCCAGCCAGGACTTCCTTGAATAAGAGTACTGGTACCCAACCTTGCCTTCCATGAATAAGAGTACTGGTACCCAGCATGGACTTCCATAACCAAGAGTATTGGTACCCAGGCTGTCTTTCCGTGACAAAGTGTTCTGGTACACAGGTTGGCCTTCCATGACCAAGTCTGCTGGTTCCCAGACTCTCCTTCCATGACTAAAAGTACTAAAAGTACTTCCATGATTATAAGTATTGGTACCCATCCTGGCTTTCCGTGAATAATAGTTCTTGTTCCCAGTCTGTACTTCCATGACAATGAATTCTGCTTTCCAGGCTGCACTTCAATGACTAACAGTACTAGTACCCAGCTTGGAATTCCATGACAAAGATTACTGGTACTCAGTCTGTCCTTCCATGACTAAAACCACTGCTACCAAGCCTGACCTTTCATGATTTAGAATACTGGTATCCAGTCTAGCCCTTCATGAATAAGAGTACTGATACCCAGCCTGGCCTTCCATGACTGAGAGTACTGGTACCAGGTCTAGCCCTCCATGACTAAGAGTACTGGAACTCAGTCTGAACTTACATGACTGAGAGCACTGGTTCCCAGTCTAGCCCTTAATGACTAAGAGTACTAGTACCCAGCCTGAACTTACATGACTAAGAGTTCTGGTACCTTGCCTGGCCCTCCATAATTAAGAGTTCTTGTACCCAGCTTAGACCTCCATGGCTAAGAGTACTAGTACCCAACTTCGACTTAAATGAGTAAGAGTTCTGGAACCCAGCCTGGACTTTCATGACTCAGAGTACCGGTACCCAGCCTTACCTTCCATGACAATTAGTACTGGTACCCAGCCTGACCCTCTAACACTAAGAGTTCTGCTACCCTGCCTGGACTTCCATTACTGAGACTACTAGTACCCAACATGGACTTAAATGACAGAGTTCTAGAATCTAGCCCTGTCTTCTATGAATAAGAATACTAGTACCCAGCGTGGAATTCAAGGACTAAGAGTTCTGGTACCCAGCCTTGACTTGCATGACTAAGAGTTCTGGTGTCCAGCATGGACATCCATTACTGAGAGTAGTACTATCCAGCCTGGACTCTAATAACTAATAGTACTTGTACCCAGCCTGGACTTCCATGACTAAGAGTTCTGGTACCCAGCCTTTACTTCAATGACTCAGGGTACTGGTACCCTGCCTGGACTTCCATGACTAAGAGTACTAGTACCCAGCCTGGCCTTACTTGACTAAGAGTACTGTTTGACTAAGAGTACCCAGCGTGGCCTTCTATGATTAAGAATACTAGCACCTACCCTGGACTTCCATGACTAAGAGTTTTTGTACCCCACATGGACTACAATGACTACGAGTACTGCTATCCAGCCTGGACTTCCATGACTAAGAGTACTGGTAACCAGCCTGGACTTCCATGACTAAGAGTCCTAGTACACAACCTGGACTTCCATATAATGAGTTGTGGTACACAGCCTGGCTATCCATGACTAAGCGTACTATTACGCAGCCTGGCCTTCCGTGACTGAGAGCACTGGTACCCAGCCTAGACTTCCATGACTAAGAATACTGGTACGCTGGCGGAACTTCCATGACTAAGAATACTAGTATCTAGCCTTGCCTTCAATTACTAAGAGCAATGGTACCCAGCCTGGCCCTCTATGACTTGGATTTCTTGTACGCAGCATGGACTTCCATGACTAAAAGTACTAGTACCCAGCCTGGACTTCCATGACTAAGGGTAAGTGAAACCAACCAGTACTTCAATGACCAAGAGTTCTGTTACCCTTCCTTGATTTCCTTGACTATGAGTTCTGGTACCTATCCCGGATTTCCACGACTAAGAGTACTGATATCGAGCCTGGCCCTCAATGACTAAGTGTACTGGTACCCAGTCTGGCACACAATAACTAAGAGTTCTGGTACCCAGCCTGAACTTCCATGGCTAAGAGTACTAGTACCCAGCCTGGACTTTCTTGACTAAGAGTTTTAGTACCCAGCATGGACTTTCATTACTAAGAGTACTAGTATCCGGCCAGGACTCTAATGACTAAGAGTACTGGTACCCAACCTGGGCTTCCATGACTATGAGTAGTTGTACCCAACCTGGCCTTCTATGACTAAGAGTTCTGGTACCTAGCCAGTACTTCCAAGACTAAGTGTACTGGTACCCAGCTTAGACTTCCATGACTAAGAATATTAGTACCTAGCCTGGACTTCCATGAGTAAAAGTTCTGGTACCAAGCCTTGCTTTCCATTACTAAGAGCACTGGTACCCAGCCTGACCCTCCATAACTAAGATTTCTGGCACCCAGCCTGGACTTTTATGACTAAGAGTTCTGGTACCCAGCATGGACTTTCATTACTGAGAGTACTAGTATCCAGCCAGTACTCTTGTGACTAAGAGTACTGGTACTCAGCCTGGCCTTGCATGACTGAGACTACTAGTACCCAGGCTAGCCCTCCATGACAAAGAGTACTGGTACTCAGCCTGACCTTCAGTGATAGAGAGCACTGGTTCCCAGCCTAGCCCTTCATTACTAACAGCAATAGTACCCAGTCTCCCTTCTATGACTGAGAGTACTGGTACCCAGCCTGACCTTTCATATCTAAGAGTACTGGTACCCAATCTGGCCCACAGTAACTAAGAGTTCTGGTACCCAGCCTGGACTTCCATGGCCAAGAGTACTAGTACCCAACTTGGACTTAAATGACTAAGATTTCTGGTACCCAGCATGGACTGTCATTACTAAGAGTACTAGTATCGAGCCTTGACTCTAATGACTAAAAGTACTGGTACCCAGCCTGGACTTCCATAACTATGAGTACTAGTACCCAACCTGGATTTCCATGACTAAGAGTTTTGGTACCCAGCCTGGCTTTCCATGTCTAAGAGTACTGGTACCCAGCCTGGCCTTCTATGACTAAACGTACTGGTACCCAGCCTAGACTTCCATGGAAATAAATGGTATAAAATACCGACACAATGGAAATATAAACACATATGCAGTATAATGTGATCCTTTATTGACAACGTTTCGCCCACACAGTGGGCTTTTTCAAGTCACAAACAGATCTACCTGGGGTGGAGGTATGGGAGTATTTATAGTCAGGTTCAGAATGCTGAGGTCAGGTGGAGAATGCTGCATCTGAAGATGTACCGAGTAGGGTTATAGATTCTAAAATCTTGGGTAGACTGGAAGGGAGATTGGATAAGTTTGTGAGCAGACCTTCTGCAGTGTTCTTCAATTCCTATGTTCTTATGTGGGATAGCGATGAAGAAGTTTCTTGGCAATTGGTTCAACTATGTTATAGAAGCCATTATTCTGGTTGAAGTTGTCGGATATAAAGATAGGAATTGAAGAACACTGCAGAAGGTCTGCTCACAAACTTATCCAATCTCCCTTCCAGTCTACCCAAGATTTTAGACTCTATAACCCCACTCGGTACATCTTCAGATGCAGCATTCTCCACCTGACCTCAGAATTATGAACCTGACTATAAATACTCGCATACCTCCACCCCAGGTAGATCTGTTTGTGACTTGAAAAAGCCCACTGTGTGGGGGAAACGTTGCATATGAGTTTATATTTCCTAGACTTCCATGACTAAGAATAATGGTACGCACGCTGGACTTCCATGACTAAGAATACTAGTACCTAGCCTGGACTTCCATGATTAAGAGTTCTGGTACCCAGCCTTGCCTTCCATTACTAAGAGCACTGATATCCAGCCTGGCCCCTCTATGACTAGGATTTCTGGTACCCAGTATGGACTTCCATGTCTAAAAGTATTAGTACCCACCCTGGACTTCCATGACTAAGGGTAAGGGAAACGAGCCTGTATTTCAATGACCAAGAGTTCTGGTACCCACCTCGATTTCTGTGACTATGAGCTCTGGTACCTATCCTGGACTTCCATGACTAAGAGTACTGGTACCCTGCCTGGCCCTACATGGCTTGTTGATACGCAGTTATACCACTCTGCGCATTAATGATGCAGTTTGGCCTTCCTCTTGTATCATCTTTAACAATGAACGACCATTACAGGTTTAGTGTTTTTTGTGACCGTAAACAGAAACCCATAATTCACCTTAAGTACTGAATGGCCCATACAAGTTTAACGCTTAAATTGATATTATCATATTACTACTATTTATTATTATTGCACTTATGTGACCTGAGCTTACCTACAGCCTCAACGCTGATGTTGTAGATTCTTTCTTTGTTGTAGACTCTCTCTTTGTTGTAGACCTTCTCTTTGACTTTCTGTTGTTCTATTACACCAACTTTCATTGCATTATCCCATTATCATTATTATTATTATTATTATATTATTATTATTATTATTATTATTATTATTATTATTATTTGTGTTAGATTAAGATGCCTGTACTATAATGTAGGACCGACAATTCATAAAGAAAAGTGATTCACGTTAAATATAACCTTACTGGAGCAATAATAATAATACTGCTATATGAGGACTCTCTAACGTAAAGTATAACCTTCATAAGTTTACCACTTCTCTGATTACACTAAAAAATAATTTAGAACAGAATTAGAAATTACGATAAACGAATGTCAGCGACTTACCCCGTATGAAGGTGGTGACATCATCAGGATGGCTCAAGAAGTTAGGGTCAATGAGTGGAGGGTCACGAGGGTTTCTTGACCTCAGCCGTACTGTTCCCCGGCTCTTTGGTCGAGTCAGCATGGGCCCAATGTTGAACCCCTGCTGACCTTTAATTGGGCCAAAATATCTATGGAAGAACTATGGGAGTTTGAGCAGATGGGATAATTATTATTTAGGGGGATGTATTAAACCATTAGGGTCATACAGCGCTGGGAAAACAGCAGACAATTACGGTGTTCCCCATTAAAATATGTAGGCCTTCTCTTAAACCACGACCACAAAATACATTAAAGTCTGTAGGTCCTCTCTTAAACCACGACCACAAAATAGGTTGTTCCTTGAAGTTTAGGACATCCTCCAACTATCTTTGAAGTTATTAACGCGCATTCTTCAGCTTCATGGGGTAAATTCTCCCATGACTTGCAGGTGGCGTTCACTATATAGAGTGGCCTGATATCCTTCCCTAGTAAATCTTTCGCAACCCGGAGGTTCTGAATGGGGTTCAAGTCTGCAGAATTTCTTGGCCAGATATCGAAGAAAGCTGCCTCACAGTCACTTCGCCACCGAGCAACAGATTTCGCAGTGTAGAAAGGAGCACTGTCTTTCATGAAATTTTTACACCACACTGAGTGAAGGATCACAGAGCAATTCTAGGTACACTACATTATTACAGTTTACGTTACTGGGGACTTTTTTGTGGGTTTCCCTGGATGGGCTTTAATAATATATTTCTACAAGAACATGTACAAGGTATACAGGCCTAGCTGACAAATTAGACACATGTGCAAATCTTGGGTATCTTTATTGAGGAAACGTTTCACCACACAGTGGCTTCATCAGTCTATACATAAGAGAAACTTGTAGAACAGGAGGAGAATGAGGTAATCCGTCCCTCAACCTTGTGTCGATGTGGTCAGTCCATCAATGTTGAACAGAATACGGCATATATGCGGAGAAGCAGCTTATAAAGCGTAGGCAGGAGAGGTGCAGCAGTCGTAGGTGGTGTCACATTTGTCCAGTGTGGAAGTAGGTCGTGCCCAAGGGTTAGGCAAGCGAAGAATTCCCAAGTATTAAGACCCCAAGAAGTTGCAGTGTCTGACAGGATTGCAGATGAATGGTTCAGAGAACCGACACGTTGAAAAATTAGGCACATCTGCAATCCTGTCAGACACTGCAACTTCTTGGGGTCTTAATACTTGGGAATTCTTCGCTTGTCTAAACCTTGGGCACGACCTACTTCCACATTGGACAAATGTGATACCACCTACGACTGCTGAACCTCTCCTGCCTACGGTATATAAGCTACTTCTACGTACATATGCTGTGTTCTATTTAAGATTGATGGACTGTCCACATCTACTCAAGGTTGAGGGACTGATTACCTCATTCTCCTCCTGTTCTTCTAGTTTCTCCTATGTATGGACTGATGAAGCCACTGTGTGGCGAAACGTTTCCTCAATAAAGATATCCAAGAGTTGCACATGTGTCTAATTTATCAACATGTCGGTTCTCTGAACCATTCATCTGTAAGCCTAGCTGACATCAATCACATACCACTATACAGAAAGCCGCTAGTTATGCAGAGCATTTCGGGAAAATTAGGTCAGTTTTGTCCCAGGATGCGACCCACACCAGTCGACTAACACCCAGGTACCCATTTTACTGATGGGGATCATAGACAACCTGTGTAAGGAAACACGCCTAATGTTTGTACTCTCGCCGGGAATCAAACCCAGACCCTCGCCGTGAGAAGCAAGAGCTTTAGTCACCAGGCCACTAATTTGGCCACTAATTTATGTGATCCAATGTTCTGTGCATTTGTCTGTTGAGTCAGTGACTTCTTTCCATATTAATTTGACAGTAGCCAAATACATCCGACAACTTCAGCACTCAAGACTACACAGCGCATTTCCAAGGTGAGCATTAAATTTTGTCTCGCCAAGACACCTGCCAAGATGGGGTATTATTGTCAACAATGTTGGGTACCTTCCACCCAGCACATTTTAATGACGAGCACTGCAGATTCAGTCCATAGAAGGGATAGGCCCATTCCTTGGATCAAGAGCCTTTTACTGGTATCAAACTGCTTTCCTTGAGGGGATGGCAAGATGGTGTACTGGGAGAGGAGGAAGGAGAAATATCAAGAACAATTCAAGAAGTGTGAGGGAGACTTGAAGCTAGTGAAGTGATCTTAATTCAAGGGAACTTGAGCTATCTTTCTTTTCTTGGATCAGACTTGATTACCTCTCATTCCTCAGGTACTGTATGACACCTATGGATTTAGTATTATTATTATTATACAAAGGAGGAAGAACAAACAACTTAGGAAGTAAGACTAGCCAATGTTAGCATTTACCGTAGCTGCTTGTAATTATGACACGCAGCATAAGCTATTTTTGTTAAAGAAATATTGTCCCCTCACTGTGAGCTTTGTCAATCCAGTTGATTGAGAAAGCTCACAGAAAGTGCTTCCACCTCACAAAACAGATGAACAAGGCTACCAAGGGACAAAACTTCACTCAGTGATAAACTTACATCTCTCCTGAAGCCGATGATGTCAGTGATGAAGAGACCATCATCAAGAGCCGGAGTGCCGGACATGAAGAGGTACTGAAGGTCAGGCCAATAGGGGTCACCCACCTCAGCCAGGCTCCAGGCATTGCCCTCTACACCCATTGGACTTGTTAAAGGACCTGGTGAGTAAACACGCGCCATCAGTTACAGCAGCTGCACCTGACATGACTTATGACTCAGTTGTTTGCTAGTAACTCTCATAACGATGGTCAAATATTTGATCAAATTTACTTTTTATGGGTCAGGTTATCTAGAGGCTAAGACAGTTTCCACTAAATGTAAGTGGACAAAAAAATATGCACAAATAAATAGGTTTCCTTGAGGGACCTTACCCTTCAAACATTTTTTGTGCCAAAATAGAGTTAGCAAACTCCACTAGCCTTGCTAAAATTCATGTAATATTATTTAGCCTAATTATACTCAGTCTATCTTAGGTCAGCTTAAATTTGGTTAGAATCACTTAACGTTAATGAAATACATAAATTTCGTGATGTTATTTTTTCGTTGAGTTATTCCAAAAATTAATTTACACTGTCCAAACTATCATTGCTTCATGGGCCAAGTTCACAAGCTCTTATAAAATAGCACAACTATAAAGAATAGTAATGAACCTTGTCTGTTGTTGAGGTAGTTTCTGATGTGCACAGGATTGACTAGATTGAAGAGACTGACACCAGATCCTGGCTTAACTGTCCATGTGAGGCCAAAGATGGAGGGATGATCCTGCAGGTTGCTGCCCACTCCAGGCAGGTCAGCCACCACTGGTATCTGTCATGAAGAAACAACGTATGCATTTATGAGGCAAATATTGCTTTGAGAATGATGTAATCTCTTTCCAGTTGGAAATTACTCATCGCAAACTGAAAACTGCAAATAGCAAGGTGTACTTCAAAGATCAATATGGTGTTAGAGACAAAGGATTGCAAACGACCCTTCGACTTGAGATTATTTTGGGGTTTAATTTTTTTCATTTCGCAAAAAAAAAAATGAGTTATTTTACTAACTGTGGAGAAATTCATTTATGGAGCGGTTTAATTATAATGTGGTAGTAGTAGCTTCGAAGATTTACTTTGCATAATTACTTGGAGGGTTAATAACTCCGGAGAACCCAAGAAAACCAATCGCTGTACGATATTTGCATTGAGACCCTTTCCCCAACATGTAACTGTCAACAGTCACCAACTACCCATGTACCTATTTATTGTTAATGCTAGGAAACAAAGGCAACATACCCAACCCTCTCCTCGTGTCGACATTGAACACATATCTTTTAATGCTAATACACAAGATTCTCGGTGAGGAAAGTTTCGTTCCGAGGTTTTTGAATCATGGACACTTCACTCAAAATTCCGACTGATAAACTATAAAAGCATAATGAAAGATAAATCCCTTTTACATCACTTCTCTTATCAGTGTGTAGCCTTCACCACCACCAACATTATCAGTGTGTAGCCTTCACCACCACCAACATTATCAGTGTGTAGCCTTCACCACCACCACCAACATTATCAGTGTGTAGCCTTCACCACCACCAACATTATCAGTGTGTAGCCTTCACCACCACCAACATTATCAGTGTGTAGCCTTCACCACCACCAACATTATCAGTGTGTAGCCTTCACCACCACCAACATTATCAGTGTGTAGCCTTCACCACCACCAACATTATCAGTGTGTAGCCTTCACCACCACCAACATTATCAGTGTGTAGCCTTCACCACCACCAACATTATCAGTGTGTAGCCTCACCACCACCAACATTATCAGTGTGTAGCCTTCACCACCACCTACATTATCAGTGTGTAGCCTTCACCACCACCAACATTATCAGTGTGTAGCCTTCACCACCACCAACATTATCAGTGTGTAGCCTTCACCACCACCAACATTATCAGTGTGTAGCCTTCACCACCACCAACATTATCAGTGTGTAGCCTTCACCACCACCAACATTATCAGTGTGTAGCCTTCACCACCACCAACATTATCGTGTTGTAGCCTTCACCACCACCAACATTATCAGTGTGTAGCCTTCACCACCACCAACATTATCAGTGTGTAGCCTTCACCACCACCAACATATCAGTGTGTACCTTCACCACCACCAACATTATCAGTGTGTAGCCTTCACCATCACCAACATTATCAGTGCGTAGCCTTCACCACCACCAACATTATCAGTGTGTAGCCTTCACCACCAAATACATTATCAGTGTGTAGCCTTCACCACCACCAACATTATCAGTGTGTAGCCATCACCACCACCAACATTATCAGTGTGTAGCCTTCACCACCACCAACATTATCAGTGTGTAGCCTTCACCGCCACCAACATTATCAGTGTGTAGCCTTCACCATCACCAACATTATCAGTGCGTAGCCTTCACCACCACCAACATTATCAGTGTGTAGCCTTCACCACCAAATACATTATCAGTGTGTAGCCTTCACCACCACCAACATTATCAGTGTGTAGCCTTCACCACCACCAACATTATCAGTGTGTAGCCTTCACCACCACCAACATTATCAGTGTGTAGCCTTCACCACCACCAACATTATCAGTGTGTAGCCTTCACCACCACCAACATTATCAGTGTGTAGCCTTCACCACCACCAACATTATCAGTGTGTAGCCTTCACCACCACCAACATTATCAGTGTGTAGCCTTCACCATCACCAACATTATCAGTGTGTAGCCTTCACCACCAAATACATTATCAGTGTGTAGCCTTCACCACCACCAACATTATCAGTGTGTAGCCTTCACCACCACCAACATTATCAGTGTGTAGCCTTCACCACCACCAACATTATCAGTGTGTAGCCTTCACCACCACCAACATTATCAGTGTGTAGCCTTCACCACCACCAACATTATCAGTGTGTAGCCTTCACCACCACCAACATTATCAGTGTGTAGCCTTTACCATCACCAACATTATCAGTGTGTAGACTTCACCACTACCAACATTATCAGTGTGTAGCCTTCACCACCAACAACATTATCAGTGCGTAGCCTTCACCACTACCAACATTATCAGTGTGTAGCCTTCACCACCACCAACATTATCAGTGTGTAGCCTTCACCACCACCAACATTATCAGTGTGTAGCCTTCACCACCACCCAACATTATCAGTGTGTAGCCTTCACCACCACCAACATTATCAGTGTGTAGCCTTCACCACCACCAACATTATCAGTGTGTAGCCTTCACCACCACCAACATTATCAGTGTGTAGCCTTCACCACCACCAACATTATCAGTGTGTAGCCTTCACCACCACCAACAATTATCAGTGTGTAGCCTTCACCACCACCAACATTATCAGTGTGTAGCCTTCACCACCACCAACATTATCAGTGTGTAGCCTTCACCACCACCAACATTATCAGTGTGTAGCCTTCACCACCACCAACATTATCAGTGTGTAGCCTTCACCATCACCAACATTATCAGTGTGTAGCCTTCACCACCAAATACATTATCAGTGTGTAGCCTTCACCACCACCAACATTATCAGTGTGTAGCCTTCACCACCACCAACATTATCAGTGTGTAGCCTTCACCACCACCAACATTATCAGTGTGTAGCCTTCACCACCACCAACATTATCAGTGTGTAGCCTTCACCATCACCAACATTATCAGTGTGTAGCCTTCACCACCAAATACATTATCAGTGTGTAGCCTTCACCACCAAATACATTTTCAGTGTGTAGCCTTCACCACCACCAACATTATCAGTGTGTAGCCTTCACCACCACCAACATTATCAGTGTGTAGCCTTCACCACCACCAACATTATCAGTGTGTAACCTTCACCACCACCAACATTATCAGTGTGTAGCCTTCACCACCACCTACATTATCAGTGTGTAGCCTTCACCACCACCTACATTATCAGTGTGTAGCCTTCACCACCACCAACATTATCAGTGTGTAGCCTTCACCACCACCTACATTATCAGTGTGTAGCCTTCACCACCACCAACATTATCAGTGTGTAGCCTTCACCACCACCAACATTATCAGTGTGTAGCCTTCACCACCACCAACATTATCAGAGTGTAGCCTTCACCACCACCAACATTATCAGTGTGTAGCCTTCACCACCACCTACATTAACTAGGCAACTTTATCTTACCTTGGTATTTTAGCTTAATTTCAACCAATCTATTTGAGGTCGGCCTAAAGTAGTATTACACAATTTCAACCTGTAAAAGCACGTCAATATTAGAGCATTACTGACCCCATGCTGAGTGAGGTGCTGAGCCGGGCCGATACCTGACACCATCAGCAGGTGAGGGGAACCAATAGCTCCTGCTGACACTATCACTTCTCGCCGTGCCAACACTTTGCGAACCTGCAACACAAAGACCAGTGATTTTGTTGAATGACTTTGTTACTCGCTCCCATACTTAATCCTGGGGGTGGGGGTAGACTAGAGAAAACACAGACAGCTCATTACGACTGTAATCGGGTCAAAAACCTGTAACTTGCTTAGCTACCATTTATTGGCTGTCCGGTCCTTGTGGACCCATTAGGTACCTCCGTAATCTTGGTAATATGGGATGGGTACTGGGTATGGGTAGTAATCAAAAGATTACAGAGGCGCAACTCATTATGACCGTCTAGACCAAAAACTCAATAACAGTTCGATACCACTATAACTTACAAAGCTATAATTTCTTGGCACCTAGACCCTGGATACATTATGTCTAATTTTTTGATACTGCCCACACCATGGGTATGGGGTGCATAATGAACCTGCTAAATTAACTTAAATCAACATAATAGGTCCGGGGACAGTTGGTAGAAAAAACTAATTTGCCAATCTGTGTTGGTAGTTGTAACATATTGAACGATCTGGTAGCATAGTTGTACTGAAGAGAAGAGGGCGAGTTAAGGTTTCAGCAGAATATTCCAATATATATCACAAGGAAAATTTAGTAAATTATCTCATAGTAAAAGATTTTTTTCTCTCTGCAAATTGATGTATGCTGAATAATGCCGCTTGTCCAGTGAGACTTAAAAAAAAAAAAAAACTATAAGTCTGAATACCTTCAATATACCAGGCTGAACCAGGCTGGACCAGGATGGAACAGAATAGTGTAAACTTTGGTAATTGATACAGACGAGTGGTTTAAAACTTTTTAGTAAATATATCCTGTTATTGAGGTGTATTGTTAAAGCTGTACATCAGTGCTGGGTAACTACTACACACGGTGTCTTGTTGAAGCTGTACATCAGTGCTGGGTAACTACTACACACGGTGTCTTGTTGAAGCTGTACATCAGTGCTGGGTAACTACTACACACGGTGTCTTGTTGAAGCTGTACATCAGCGCTGGGTAACTACTACACACGGTGTCTTGTTGAAGCTGTACATCAGTGCTGGGTAACTACTACACACGGTGTCTTGTTGAAGCTGTACATCAGCGCTGGGTAACTACTACACACGGTGTCTTGTTGAAGCTGTACATCAGTGCTGGGTAACTACTACACACGGTGTCTTGTTGAAGCTGTACATCAGCGCTGGGTAACTACTACACACGGTGTCTTGTTGAAGCTGTACATCAGCGCTGGGTAACTACTACACACGGTGTCTTGTTGAAGCTGTACATCAGCGCTGGGTAACTACTACACACGGTGTCTTGTTGAAGCTGTACATCAGCGCTGGGTAACTACTACACACGGTGTCTTGTTGAAGCTGTACATCAGCGCTGGGTAACTACTACACACGGTGTCTTGTTGAAGCTGTACATCAGTGCTGGGTAACTACTACACACGGTGTCTTGTTGAAGCTGTACATCAGCGCTGGGTAACTACTACACACGGTGTCTTGTTGAAGCTGTACATCAGCGCTGGGTAACTACTACACACGGTGTCTTGTTGAAGCTGTACATCAGCGCTGGGTAACTACTACACACGGTGTCTTGTTGAAGCTGTACATCAGCGCTGGGTAACTACTACACACGGTGTCTTGTTGAAGCTGTACATCAGCGCTGGGTAACTACTACACACGGTGTCTTGTTGAAGCTGTACATCAGCGCTGGGTAACTACTACACACGGTGTCTTGTTGAAGCTGTACATCAGCGCTGGGTAACTACTACACACGGTGTCTTGTTGAAGCTGTACATCAGCGCTGGGTAACTACTACACACGGTGTCTTGTTGAAGCTGTACATCAGCGCTGGGTAACTACTACACACGGTGTCTTGTTGAAGCTGTACATCAGCGCTGGGTAACTACTACACACGGTGTCTTGTTAAAGCTGGACATCAGCGCTGGGTAACTACAACGGACTCCTGATGGAAGGAACTGAATCTCTGTTCCACTTCCATTCACTCAGGCGCTTTACGGGTCCCTATGTGATAATATAATACTATATTGCTATATAAAAGGGTAAAGCAAATTTGAAAAAAAATAGATGAAGTAATTGAATAGAAGAGACGAGGGGTAGTGTGGAAATTAATCTGCTAAAAGTGCGAATAATCAGATGTATAGACTAAGACAGACCTTTCCCAGGTGTTCAAATGTGACGCCAACTGCTCGCTTATCGTCATCAAAGAGAACCTGGAGGAAATAAAGAAACATAACAGAAATAACTACTATGGGTGTATTTTCATCCAATAAAATCTTGTATGAACACAAAAGATGCTAGACCAGGTAATGACAGTAATGCTATGCTCTATCGTTCACATGACTAACCACGAAATTAATTTTGAAATTTACACATAAAATATGATAGCTACATGAAGGTAAGAATTGTAAAGGCAAACTTTATAAGCTCCAAAATTTTATCAAAGTAATTCTCGTTCAAGTCATTGGAAATCTTAGCATTAAACCTGAAAGTAGTGACTTTTGAATGTCAGGTAAGAAATCAGATGTTTTCAAACAAGGTAGATTGACCCAGAGAAAGCAAGCTTTCCATTTATTAATCAACAGCTGTCATTCCAGAAGTGTTGAAACAGTACAATGCAAATAAATGACCTAGCAGTGTAGTGGGGTTGATGCGGTGACCTCACCAACACCACTACACTCTACTTCCCACCTCCAGAATGTAAGTTCACCTAACCAATTTTCCTTGAATCTCTTCACTGATTTTATCTTGTTCACACTCCAGCAGCATGTTCCAGAAACCACTTATTCCCCCTGATAACACATGTCTACAGGTGCCAAATCCTTTCATCTCAAAAACCTCCTCCCAACCCTCTACACCTTCCTTACTCTCTATATTTATACATTTCTTCAATATCCTGCCTTGCCTCATCCTGACTAAATTAATAAACTATCTATATCGGCAACATTTTATTTGTCCTCTGAATTGTACCTATAATATTACCTAGCTAATTTCTACACTAGTCTTTCTATAATACTATCATCGTAAGTATTTTGTAGGAAGTTCTTCCAAGAGTTTCTTCCGCTATGTTTGTTAAAAATGGTATATAATTCCGACACGCTGAAGAGTAAGACAAATGCGGTGAAGAAACAGTTTCTTCAGCCAAATACAGGAATAGTAGCGAAATAAAGTTGATGCTATCTACTACCACTGTTATCTAGTACCACTGTTATCTACTACCACTGTTATCTACTACCACTGTTATCTACTACCACTGTTATCTACTACCACTGTTATCTACTACCACTGTTATCTACTACCATTGTTATCTACTACCACTGTTATCTACTACCACTGTTATCTACTACCACTGTTATCTACTACCATTGTTATCTACTACCACTGTTATCTACTACCACTGTTATCTACTAGAATTTTGTTCCGGAAAAATGTAGTTTTTTCAGGTTGGTGGAGTATACATGGAGGATGTTCCTGTGGAAAATACCGAGAGAAGAACGACGCCTAGAGAAGTGTCACTTCTGTATATACTTAATTCTAAGAATTAGCCTTGTAATACCTGTCCTGTTTATACACTAAATTACTACATTACTACTACACAAATTTAAGTTAAGTTAGAGACAGTCGTTTAGCTTAAGACAGTAGTTACACTTCCCATAGGCTGGAGGTGCCTTAGGCACCTCCAGCCTACCAGTTTGAGTACCCACGGGGTAGGCTTAGCCGACGGCTGGCCAGTCACATTTCAGCAGTGAGACACGCAACTCCCCTACACAAACTTTGCGTAGTAATTACATTAAAATTGTTCATATCGCTCTTGGGCTGTGCGGACAGGCTGCGCAGTAGCTCCTGATTCGTCTAGTCTCTGCGCAGTTTTCACCAGTCTACTCACAATGGCAGAAGGAGGATGCAGGCGCGTCAACACTGTCTGCCTTGATTTAGTGACTGGCTCATTTAATAGTCAGAATACTCATATTCTGCTGACGGCGATCCTGAGAGTTACGTATGGAATTGCCAATGAAGACCTTTACGGTGTAGCATTAAATGGCAATACGAGGTTATTCGTCAAATTCAGACAAGGCTGCACCTATGAGAATATGGTTGCTAAATACCAGAATGTGATAAAGACTGTTAACCCTGGTGTTACCGTCCGCCTTCGAGATGTCTCCCGTGTTTACACATGGGTGAAGGTGCGCAACGTACCCTTTGAAGCGGACGAAAGCGATTTAAGGAACGTTTTTGACCGTTACGGCACCGTGCATCTGGCGGCGTTGGGACACTGGCGTGACGGCCCCCTTGTTGGCATGCCGGAATGTTGGGTTAATGCGTAAAAGGAGCGTGAGGGAATCTTTTGCGAGTGTATGGAAGGAATGGTGGGATAACCGTAGGGTAGGGAGTGATATTATTGAGTGGTGGGACACGATTGGCAAGAGGAAGGTGAGAGACTTCTATCAGAGGAGTGGGGTAGAGGAACGAAAAATGCAACGTGGAACTTTGTCTTATCTGGAAAACCAACTGCAGGACTGTTATGTGAATGATACGGGGGTGTACCCGGTGGCGGAAATTGAAAACTTAAAGCGCATGATAGGGGATATCCATAATCGTAATTTTGATGCGGCGCGGATAGCGAGTGGCATACAGGAGGTATTATGGGGAGATCGCCCTTCGGCGGTTGTCCTGCGGGAGCAGGGCAAACGCCGAAGGGCAACAAAATTAATGGGATTGGAAGTGCACGAGCAAATGGGGGCGTATAGCAGGGGACAGTACATTACGACAACTGAGGGAATGAGTTGCTATGTGGATAAATGGTACGAATCGCAATATGAGAATGTGGGGATCTCTAAGGAAGTGCTAGAAAAAATGGGTGAATGGATATGTTGTGATTTAGAGAATAAGGATCGAATGAATTTGAATGGAAGCATAAGTGAGGAGGAGGTTAGGCTAGCGGTAGAGAGTATGAGTGCTGGGAAATCACCGGGGATCGATGGTATCCCTTGTGATTTCTATAAGGAAAACTGGGAATGCCTACACGACTTTCTAGTGGTATTATTTAACGAAATGAAAACAAGCGGAAGACTCGGGGAACAACAAAGAACAGGCGTTGTGGTTATGATTCCAAAAAAGGCTACGGGGAACTGTGTCCAAAATTATAGGTCGATAACATTAATGTGTGGTGATTATAAAATATTTACGAAAATGTTAGGTAATAGAATTAAAAGGGTATTAGAGAAGGTTTTGGATGAAGGGCAATATGGGGTACCCGGAAGATCAATGTGTGTGGGGCAAGGTATTATACGCAGGTTCATTGACGAAAGCGGGAAGGGTAATGCAGGGGGAATACTGGCTTTGGACTGGCATGCGGCATACGATTGTGTGGAGGGTGAGGCTTTATGGAAGTTCATGCAGTGGAAGGGATTCGGGAAGGAAATAGTAAGTTGGACGATGGCTTTGTATGAGCAGGCTATGTTTAGAGCACAGGTAAATGGCAGGTTAGGGAATTTAATTGGAATGAAACGTGGTTTAACAGGGGTGTCCTGTATCGCAGATTCTTTTTGCGTTACTTCAGGATCCTTTTTTCAGAGCTGTACGGGAGGGTGTGAATGAGGATGAAATGCGAGGAAGGGTGGGGATAAAAGCGGGAATCGTAGGCTATGTGGATGACACCACGATTTTATATAGGGGATCACGGGATTTACGAAAAGTAGGTGAATTGGTAAAACTTTTTGGGAGAGCAACGGGGATGATGGTCAATAAGGATAAGTCAATGCTTATGCACGTGGGAGATAGCATTAGTGGGGACATAGGTCAGGAGGAGGGTTGGCCTTTAGTAAATTGGAATTGTTCATATGAGAAACATTCAGGAAGCGAGGAAGGTTAATTCGAGTGAGGTTGTGGATAGGGTGTTAGGTGCTTGGCGGGTTGCGTGCAGGAGGCTTAACTTTGCATCAGCGTGTAATTGTAGCGAATGTGCTTTTGTTTGGTAAGTTGTGGCACGTGGTAAGTATGTATCCGTTAGTGGCGTGTGATGAGAAATTTTTATTGAAGCGTTTTATTTAGATATATATGGGGTTCAGGTTGTGATTGGTTAGCGAGAGATGTTGTGTATTTACCGACTAGTCGGGGTGGACTGGGGTTAATGAATCTGCACATGAGAATATTAGGTATGTACGTTAAACATAGTTATTTGCGTGAGGGTCGGAGGGTTGGTACAGGTTTGAATTGGATTCGAGGGGATTGGTACCATGGATGAATGGTGGGGGATGTTACGAGATGCGAGAACATGCGGGAGGGTTTAATTTTGCAAGGGATCCAAGTCGAATCAAGATTAGAAAACTGGCAAGGGTGGGAGAGAGGGAGGGGGTGGTTAGCGCAGAGGGTATATATCCAATGTATGCATGGTGTGATATTTGGGGTCGCTTGAAGGATTTTACGATTGAGGGCGGGTACGGGAGGTCAGTATAAATTCCCTTTTACAATTATATTCCCTTCCGGGAAGGTTTTAGCAAATAGACGTGTGCAAGTGGGTAAGGAGCGTTGTGTGGGTGGGGATATTGACACGGCTTTCACGCAGTGTTTTTTTGTGAGAGTTTGGAAGCGGAAAGAGTGTGGTTTAGCAGAGTTATTCGATGGTGGGAGGTGAGGGAATTAGTGTTTTAAAGAGCGTTAAGTCTAGATGTGGGGGGTAGGGTTGCCGGTAAAAAGGGCGTTTGGGTATCTAGTACTGATTTTGGGTATATACTTCATGGGCTGGACAGTATCAGCAGAGAGAGGATCAGGGCGCTGGCAGCGATTTTTTATGGTACACAGCAGAGGAATAGAGAGATTGCTGGGGGTAGATGGCTTTCGACTTTTTCAGTGGGATATTGAATTTTCATGTTCGTGATTTTTGGGCATTAGTACCATAGAGGGTAGGTGGGTGGGCCCTTTTGTGGGGTGAGCGAGAGTAACGGTTGGATTTGGAATGGTGGAAATAATGATGAAACATTGGGAGGGGCGGTCATGTTTAAAGGGTTTAGAAGGTATAAACGAGAACGAAAAAGGGGCTTTGAAAAAAAATTTTTTTATATTGTTTGTCAAGTGAATAGATCAAATAAAATGTACGTTAACCTTTTAATAATACACATCTTTGGTAGCCCGAATCGACAAAATTGTTCGAACACTATGTCGTCAGTTTGATGACGCCTTCAGGTTAGATTTGAAACTATAGAGGTTTAAGGGA